CCAGGAGCAAATACTCTCATGAGTGGATCAGATGGCTCCAATGCCACCAATGGAGCCACGGCTCTCATGTGCGCTGCATGGCGTGGCTCGGGGTAGGGTGCCCATTACCTCCAAGGGGCCTAGAAGGACATCACGGAGGCGGTGTATGAGCGGGGCTTTGAAGGACAAGTAGGAGTTTATCCGGCAGGAAATCAGGAAAATGCTTTCTAGGCAGAGGGAATAGCATCTGCAAAGGCAAAGCAGCACAGAGTTTAGGGAACCAGAAATATAGCAGCGAGATTAGTGGGAGCGGAGGCTGGCCTGGGAGGTGGAGGTCATAGGATGGTGGTGGGCAGAAACCGGAGGGACTGGGACTTCACTCTGGGGGTGAGGGGCAAAGCCCTGTACGTCTTGTTAGATGGACCTTGGCTGTGTGAGAAATGGCCCAGAGGGGAAGGCCCTGGAGGCAGAGGAATGGCGGGAATCCAGGCGAGGAGAGTTGAGGGCCAGAACTAAAACAGGAGCAGCAAGAAGAGAATACAGTGGCCGAGTTTGAAAGCAAATTTAGATGAGCTGGCGATGGGGTGACCCCAGATGGCTCCAGGGGAGGTGTGGGTGACTCTGGGGGAGGTGTAGCTGTCGGAAGGGGAGTCCTGCGGGGGAAGGAGGGAGATGGGACATTCAGCTGAGGATACGCTGGGGTCAGGGTGGGACATCCGGGTAGCTGCTGGGACTGTGTGGCTGGAGCTCAGGGAGATGGGCCCGTGACAGAGCTAAGCATAAAGACATGGGCTGCTCCCGGCTGCTGGGAGGAGGAAGAAGGGGGAGAGAAAGGCAAGGGTGGGGCCCAGGGATGCCCCCAAGTTTTAGGGATGAGCCAGTTTGTCTGGAAAAAATAGGCAGAGCAGGGGAAGAAGTAGGAGAGATATGGCTGGGGTGTGTACACACTGTGGAGTGAGATGGGCTAGACCCGTGGTCGGCAAACCGCAGCTCGCGAGCCACATGCGGCTCTCTGGCCCCTTCAGTGTGGCTCTTCCACAAAATGCCACGTGCGGGCGCACAGGTACAGTGCGACTGAAACTTCATGGCCCATGCGCAGAAGTCAGTATTTTGTGGAAGAGCCACACTGAAGGGGCCAGAGAGCCACATGTGGCTCGCGAGCCAGTTTGCTGAGCCGCAGTTTGCCGACCACTGGGCCAGACCTTCAGCTTTGTGAAGACAGGGATGCGACTGCTGAATCCCAGTGCCCGGCTCAGGGCCTGCATCTGGAAGGTGCTCACACTTAACTTAGATGGCTAGGCGGACGGATGGAAGGATGAATGATGCGTCATCCACCTCACAGTTCCCAGCAGCCACCTGGGTGTCCTGGTGGGGTGCTTTTCTGTCTTCCTGGGAAGGTCTCCCACCCCTCTGCCCACAGTCCTGCCTTCCTCTGTAGCAGATGCCTCTATAGGACCCAAACCTAAACTGGCTCCAGATAATCTGTGATCACATATCCCCCCTCCCACCTGGGCCAGAGCTACCAGGAATAGAAGGGGTCACCTGACCCAGGCCGGCCAATCAGAGTCTGACCTGGGACTCTTGCCTCTGGATCTTCTGAATGAGCATGTGTAAACTTGGGTGACTGTGTGTACACCCACATGTATGTGCCAAGAATGCTGGTGTGCAGAGAACATGAGAGGGAGAGCCAGGGTGCAAGAGAATGGGAGGTAGAGGCAGACGAGGTGGCGTGGGCAAGACAGGAGAGGCAGGTGTTCCCTGGCTCTGGCCTCTCTGAGGCTTGGCCAGGTCCTGCTTTGGGCTCAGTGTCCCCTGGGTCTGGCTGCTAACCCTGCCTTGGCCTTGGCCGCTGTGTGTGGATCTCAGTTTTTTGCTGCCCCCCCGCTCCCCCGGCCAGTGTGTGAGGTGCCTCTCCCGGGGCTCTGAGCACCCGTCCACCTGCCTTCCCCTGAGGCCTCTTGCAGTCAGACTCTGGGTCCTGGATGCCGAAGGCCACCACTTGCACTTGCTGGTGACCCGCCCTGGGCAGGACTCGGCACACGCTATGGACGGCACCACAGAACCCAGGCCCAGACGAGGCCCACGTGTCGCTCGGGCTCTGCTCATGCTACACGCCCTGCGAACGTCCTCGGTCCGCCTTCCCAAGGTGCGCCAGGCACCGAGGGAGGCCCGGCCCCCATCCTGACGGGGTGGGCCACCAGCTGAAGGATGTAGCAGAGCCAGAACGTGAGCCCAGCTCTTCGGACTCCTCATGAAATTAGTTTTCGGGGTTTTCCTCTCCTCCTGCTGAGGGATGCCACAGGCGGGGCCCGGGCTGGAGGCGCGGCCACTTGTGGGGACCCCCGGGGCACCCCGGTCCCGCCGGAGTCCAGCAGGAGCAGGGCTGGAGGCCGTGCAGGTCCCGACCACGCTGTCAAGCCCAAACATGCAAGGTCACCGTCACGGCAGAGCGCTTTGACGGTGAGCCCTGAACTGCCGTCCTTCCCGGCGCTGGGAGCGCGTCTCACGCAGGTGAGCCGTGGGCCGGACCGACACCGCGGCTGCCGTCCCCCACGGGCCAGCCTCTGCAGACGGCGCGGGCAGGCGCAGAGGAAAGGCCTGCATTCCTCACTGTGACCCGCGGAGCGCAGCGCACGCTCGCCTGTCGTGGGCAACGGGACTCCCGCTCCAGGGGCCACTCCTGAGCCAGTGCCAGCGAGCACGGGCCGGCCCGGCCTCCTGATCCCCCTGCGCGGACCAGCCCGTCTAAGCGAAACCGAAACCGGGCAAAGCAGCCCCAGCTCTTTCTAGGCTGGGAGGCCAGGGGGTGGCGTCTGGGACCAGCGGGGGCCTGGGGGCGCTTTATCAGGTGGCTTCAGAGACAGCAGCGAGCCGGGAAAAGGTTAAAACATTTATTTAACAAATTATATTAAGAGACAGACGATCACACAGTGAAACTTCCCTTTGTCAACCGCAGGAGTCGCCTCGAATAAATACGCGCGGCGAGAACAGGTCCTGCGGCGAGTGCAGTGGCCTCGGCCCGCGGCAGCTCGCGCCTTCGCTGGGAGGGCAGGCCCGGCTCAGGGGGTGACAGCCCTGGCGGCCGAGGCCACGTTTACAGAAGGCGAAGAAAGCTGGCTGACCCCCGGGCGCCTGCAGGCCTCGGGCACAGCAGGCAGGGAGCCTCCGAACCGCTCAGCCTGTGCGCCTTGCAGGCCCCTCTGCCCTCGCCCTCAGGGTCCCTGGCCCCCGAGGAGCTGCGGGCTGGGCTTCCCCACAAATGGCAAGTGAGGGGTAGCCAGCTCGCGCCCTGGCCCGGCTCCGAGGCGTGTGCTTATGGTGGGAGGGCTGGCACCGCGGCTCTGGGGCCAACGACACGGCTCCAAACCCGTCTCTGCCACCCACCAGCCTTGTGCCCTTGGACAAGTCTCGGCTCCTCCATCTGACGGAGTGAACAGTGCCCACGTCTGGGTGTTTGCCTTTCGAGGGGGATGACGGGGAGAAATGTGCTTAAGGTGCCGGCCTGAGGCCTGGCAAGGAGGGTGGGCTTAGTGCATGTGAGTTCCGCGTGTCGCCCTGCGCCCGCCCCTCCCTGAAGGACGGGCCAGTCCCCACCAACCCCGAGGCTCCTCACCACCACCACCCGGGCAGGGGTGGGGGGACGAGACGCAGCCGGGAGCCTGGGGCCTTACCTGCTATTTCTTCCGCAGGCGGGTTCCTCCCTCACCAAGTGGAGGAGGGCCGTGGCCAAGATCAGCTCTTGGACTTGGGTCGGGTAGAAGCTGCTTATAAATTTACAAGAGAACCTGCAGCAGGCACTTCCTCCTCGTCATGTGCCACCTCCGAGGCGTGCAGAGAGCCGGAATGTCAGGGGGAGAGAAGGAAGGGGGCGCTGTGCTCCGCTCAGTCTTCTCAGAGGGACGGGGGGCCGGGCGGAGGGAGGGCCGCTGCCTTCACCTTTCCAAGGGAGCCTCCCCCTCCCGCCCCCTCCCCCCGGGCAGCGGTTTGTCAAGAAGAGTGCCCTCCAGGAAGAAGCAGGTAGGTGTGAGCCAGAGCCCGGCTCCGAGCCTTGTCACCCCCACACTTGCTCATCCTCACCCCCTCACGAGGCAAAGCAGCAGGGTTAGGAGCAGCCTGGAAGCCACCACCAGCTACTAACGCGGTCACCCTGCGGTCTAGGCCACGTTTATCGCGATGCTCAGGCGAGGCCACGCCCTAGACCAGGTCTGCGATGCGGGGAGGGCTCTCGTCTCGCCTCTGCCAGGTGGCCCCCCAGGGGCGTGGTCAGGGAGCTGTGGTCACCCCTCCCCTTCCACTGATGGCCGCCCTCACCCAGGTCCCAGCAGAGCGGCTGAGACGTCAGTCAAGGGAGAGGGGCTGCCGGGTGCTCCTGGTCGAGATAATCTCCCTACCAGGGCGTGAGAAAGGTCGAAGGCCAGAGCGCACTGACCACGGGAGCCACAGGAGGAATCGGGGCTCTGCCTCCCCCCCACCCTCTGTCCCCCGCCTGCTGGACGCCACCGTCTGTCGGCCTTCAAGTTACACAGGTCACCTGGTTCTGAACCAGCCGCCACCACAAAGCAGCAGTAGACACACGTTTTCCGGGCCTGGGGCTCCCCTAACTCCTCGAAACTCAACGAGCTTATGCCTGTGGCACACTGAGCCCCGGCAGCTCTCCGGGCCCTGGGTAAGCACCAATCCCAAAGCCCCGGGGCCCTGCGGGCTCCACGCACTGCGTCTCCTGCCACCTGGCCGCGAGGGAGGCACGGGAAGGCCGGTCTCACCAGGGGTGTCCTCAGGTTTTGGGGAGGTGAGGCAACCACACCCCAATGTCCAGAAAGCAGGAGGTATTACAATGAAGACCCAGGGGGTGGCCCAGGGGCAGGCGGCGAGGGGCCTGGGGGTGGTGGGGGACAGGTGCGTGAGGTATTTTTCGCCGGCCCTGCTTCCTAACGGGGCTGGCTCCTGTGGCACCGTCACCCTGTGCCCTCCCAGGGGCCGCAGGGAAGAAGGTCTGTCCCTGGTGGGCCCCACCTCCCCCCCCCCCCCCCCCGTGCTGCCGTCCTGGTGGGGCCCTCACTGCTCCAGGCACAGCGGACCCCGTGCTCATGGCAGATGCGGGTCGAGGTGGACTCCGCAGCGGCGCTGTGTCCACTGGCCACTCGTGGCAGAAAGGTCAGTGCCGGTCCCGGTTCGACGACCAGGGTCAGACGGACTGTTCCCAGCTGTTCCTGTGAGCGGAGGCGGTGGGACGCGGCAGGCCCTGCTCAGAGCCTCTTTCCTCGACAACCTGGGAGGCCAGTGGCTGTGGTCCCGGGTCAGGCACCGGGCAGAGGCAGTTGGCACTGCTGATGGCACGTGGGCACTGCAGAGACGAGCCCTTTGGGGGGACGTGGGTGTGAGGTGGTGAGCACAGCGTCCTGGGCAGGGAGCGCCGGGCACGCTGCCCCTGACCTCAGGGCGTCCGTGTGGATCCTGTGCCGAGTCCCAGCTCGGATGCTCACGGCGGGTGGGGAGTCAGGCGCGGTCCACCTGGGCCACCGGCTCTTCCTCCTCGGGCAGAGCCGTCGTGAGGCGCTGGGGCACCTGATGCAGTGGGGCTGAGGGCCTTGCTCCAGCCGCTGGGCGGGTGATGGGAGCCGCCTGGGTCTCCCAGGAGGGGCAGTGGCTGGCGGCAGCGACGGGAGGGAAGGGAGTCACTGGTGGCCCCGGCTGCAGGGCTGTTTAAGGATGACTGCTCCTCACACGGACACGTCAGGAGCCGTCGCTACGGCACACACAGGTTAGTCGAGGTTATGAATGTCCCCAGGGAGGGGGGCGTCATGTCAGGCAAGCTGATGACCGGGATGGAGAGCTCAGCTGCCCGAGTCGCCCCACCGAGCCGGTGGGGCAGTGGAGGGCGGCGGAGGGGGCGGGCGAGGCGGGCACTCGGGCGCCGGGCGATGCGTCTTCTCCCCGCAGGAGGCAGGAGGCAGCTGGGCCCTCAGGACTGCGGGATCTGCTGGCAGCGCGTGGGGCTGGGCGGGAGCCTGGCGGCGGCGCTCTGCTCGGTGCGGAAGCTGTACTCGTACTGCGGAGGGACGGACAGAGAGTCAGTGTGCGGGACCCGGGGCGCCAGGCCCTGTGCGTGCACACGGGCTGTGGGTGCGAGCATGTGCCTGCAGACCCGCCCGTGGGGCTGCCGTGCCTGCTGGTCTCTGAGGGCTGGTACCTCTCACAGTCCCTGCCCCACGCCCGAGAGGTGAGACCTCAGCACCGGCAGTGCCTGAGCCACGATGCCAGCGGCAAACACGCGCCCCTGACCGTGTGCCAGGCTGCACGCCGGCGCCCTCCGCCTCCCACCCCTGCAGATGGTCCTGCTGGACGGAGGCCCACACTGGCAAGGGCAGATCTGGGTCTCCGTCCCAAGCCTGACCAAGGGCAGTGCAGCCCCCAGGCCCAGGGGACCCCACTTGCCGCTCCGCGTACGTGCCCCTCGAGCACTGCTGGTGACGGACACACCCTGCCCGTGCCCGCTCCCTGCGGGTGTGCGAGTGGCCTCATGAGCTGCCGAGGACCCTCTAGGGCTGCACCCACTGGCCCCCGAGCGCACCCAGCAGATCCTGGGCCGAGGGCAGCGCCTTTACTGTGGGGCCAGGGGACCTGAGGGTCACCTTGACGGCCAGGTGCTCCTACAGGTTTTGGGAATGAGGAGCTTACACTAGGTCAGTGGTTGTCAAGCGTTTAAAATACAATTTGAAACCTTTTCAGCAGCTGGAATCACCAGAAAAGGGCTCGCCTACTTAAAGCAGCGCCCACCGCCGCCTCTGCGGGGACACTGGGGAGGCTGGTAGGAAGATGGGGTGGAGCCCTGGCAGCAGGGGGGCATCCCCCGGGCACCCCCACAGGGAGGGCTCCGGACGCTCTGCTCCCACCAGGCACCTGGCAGAACCTGCCCAGCACCCCTGCACCCCTGCAGCCAGGAGGCACTTCTGGGGCCGCGCTGAGTGAGAGCAGCTGGAAGTTGAAAGGTTTCAGGTTTGATAGTGTCCTCAACCCCCCTGCCTGGCAGTCCCACAGCACTGGCCCAGGACAGACAGACAGACACAGATGTGCGCTGGGGCTGGGGGAGGCCCGGTTGACCATCCCTGTGCGAAGGTGGAGGTGCGGAGCCACAGGCCCCGGTGGGGGAAGGATGGGGACCCTACAGACAGCCTGTCTCCGAGGGCGGAGGGCGGGAGAGGCGCTCACGTCGCGGGGCACCTTGGGCAGGTCTCTGCTCCTCTCGGGACCTCGGTAAGCTCACCTCTGCAGTGGGGTCACCAGGAAGTGACAAGGGTTGGTGAGGGCACGGAGAAAAGGGAACCCGCGTGCATTGCTGGGAATGTCAACTGCTGCCGCCGCAAGGAAAGCAGCTTGGAGACCCTTTAAAAACTAAAAACAGAACCACCACGCGACCCAGCAGTCCCACTGCCGGCTCTGAGCCCAAGGAAGTGAAGAGACAAACGAGGAGCTGTCTGCCCCCCGCAGCTCACTCACATGATCCGGGCAGAGCACACCCCGAATGCCCTCACCGGCTCAGGGATAGCGGAAGCGTGGCACACAGTACAGCTGCTCGCATGGGAAAGACGTGCGGGTGTGACTATTACAGCAGCTTTAGTAACCCAACAGAGCGGCACAGGCAGCGGCAAGCTTCGGCCCAGCCCTGTATACACACGGTGGAATATTGTTCGGCTGAGAAGAGTGAAGTCCTGCTGTTGGTGACGCATTATGCTAAGTGACATAAGTCAGATGGAGGAAAAGTACCACATGATCTCACTTACGTGTGGAATCTAAAAAACAAAACAAAAAACCCCAACCAGGCCAGAGAGCAGATTGGTGGCGGGGGGGGGGGGGGGGGGTCAAAGGTACAAACTTCCGGTTCTAAGGAGTCTCGGGGAAGTGGAGGTGCCCTGGACGCGGCAGCGTGGTGACGATGGCTGATGCTGTTTTGCATATTTGAAAGCTGCTAAGAGTAAATCTTAGAAGTTCTCATCACGGGAAAAAGATTCTGTAACTATGGTGATGGATGTTAACGGGACTGATCATTCTGAGATACATACAAACAGTGAAGCCTTATGTTATGTTGTACCTCTGAAACGAATACAATGTTTTATGTCAATTATACCTCAATGGAGTGGAGTCACAATCGGCCCTCCCAGGGCTGCGCTGCGGGTGGGATGAGGTTGTGCCTTTGACCTCCCCTGGCCTCCGGGTACGTTGGTGACCAGCCCGGTCACTCTTCTGCTCTCTAGGGACCAGGGACCAGGCCAGGACCTTCGGGTTCAGCTCCCAGGCGGCTGGCAGACCTGCAGCAGGAGGCGGTGGACTCCGGGCGAAGTCTGGGACAATACCACCACCTGGTGGCTGCTCAGGTGCATCACAGCAGTAAGTGTTCCTTCCTGGGCTGCCTTAGCTAATCCACCGCATCCACCCAGGGCTGGGCGCTGGGGGCCAAATGAGCGCACAGGAGACAAGGCGGGGGAGAGAGCACGAGAGCTTTGCTGCCAGTGGCCAAGGAGCACTCTGGGGAGACGTGGAACTGGGGGTGAGGGGGGAAGTGGGAGCACTTGGGGTCCGGGTAGCTGGACTCAGGTGTGAAGATGTTTCAAGGTGGGGAGAGAAGAGGCCGGGCCCAGCACTAGGGATGAGGACCCAGAGGCTGAGGGGGTGCAGGAGGCTGGGGGCTTCACTTCGGCTGCTCTGAGACCAGCTGGGAAACGCCTGCCTGGGGCAGCAGCAGGGGCGAGGCACCTCTCAAATGAGGAGGCGCCAGTGCCAGTGGCCAGGCCCTCCTTTGGGAGGCTTTGCGGGGCCCTGCTGGGCAGGCTTTGTGCCGGCTCCGGCTCCGGGGTGGTGGGGACACGGGGGCGGTTGGGCCTGCATCTGTGGGGGCTGCTCAGCACAGAGAGCCCATGAAGGGAGGTGGAGGCAGAGGCAGTAGTTCCCAGATGTCCAGAGCCAGAGGCCTGAGCCCTCTGCTGACTGGGTGCCAGCAGGGGTGGCCCCAGAAAAGGTGGGGGCCAGAGCAGGATCGCGACACTCCCAGCCTGGGAAAGCAAGTGCTGGCCTGGGCTGAGGGAGCCCTGAGGCCAGTCTTTGTGGCCAGGAGTAGGGCAGGGTCCCTAGGAAGGAGGCACAGATGGGCCTTCCAGGATGAAGTGCTAAATCCTCCTCCTCTCATGTCTGGGCAGGGGCAGGAGGAGAGCACACAGAGCCCTTTCCTGACTCACAGCCCAAGTGCACAGCCCTCCCCTCACCCCCGCCTGGATCCGGGCGCAGCACAGATTGCTGTCCCCCACCTCTGCCCTTGGGATTTTCCCTTTTTAGGTTATATTGGCTGGAGAGAAGGAGACTCCCCCCCTTGTGTTCTCTAACTCCCCAAATGAAATTTCAACATATGTCCCCTGACATAATCCCCCTTAGGCTGCGGATAACCCTTCCCACAGACGCTGTCCTCGGCGGGATTGCGGCCCCAAAGTGTTTGCCCAAGAGACTAGGGCCGCCTCTGGAAGCCCCTCTCTCCCCTGGGCAAACAGCGAGCACCTTTGAAGGTGGATTTGGGCCCAGATCTGTTTACTCAAGACATTAGTCTCCCACATAAGGAAAACCTGCACTCGCCTACAAACAGCAAATCCTTTTTGAATTAAAAAAATTTTCAATTAAAAAGAATTTGGGTTTGCAGAGCCAGCTCAGCGGAGCGGCGCCAGGCCTTGGCGCCCTCTGGTGGGCACAGGCCGCCATCGCAGCAGCAGCAGCAGCAGCCCGGCCTGGGCGGCCTCTCCAGGAAAGAGACATCACTGTCAGGGCCCCGCCTGGGGCTTCCCAGGGGCCTGGGGCCCTGCAACGGAGCATCAGGCCTCACCGCGCACCCCTCCCACCTTCCCCACGGCTGTTGTCCTGTTGTCGCGGCGAGGCGGCATCCCGGCAGTGGGAGGTGCAGACCACAGCTTCCAGGGCACCTGGAGCTGGCGTTTCACTGCCGGGCCACTGGCCAAAGGTGGCGACCATCCCACCCACCGGCCCACTCATGGGCGCGGCGCTGATTCGTGTGGAGCGCGTCCTCCGTGCCTCAGGACCAAAGGCTTCGCCAGCATCAGGGTGCTGGGCCTGGCCGGGTCGGACAGGCACCAGCATTTGCCTGCAAACATTTACCAGCTCCCCCAGAGAAAGGCACATCCCCCCCCTTCCCTCCCTGGGTCCAGCAGCAGTCAGAGCTCCCGACCAGAAAGAGCGGCGCTCGGGGTGTGCCCAGCTGTGGAAGCTGCGGGAAGCGCCGCGCTGCACAGGGTCACAGACCGAGCGGGGGCAGGGGGACAGGCCCAGCAGCTGGCACGTGTCTGCACCCACTTCCTCATGGGATGCAATCCGGAGGTGGGGGTAGAACTGATGGGCGCCAACACGGAGGGCACTTCGGTGAGAGGGGCCTGGAAGGCCCGGCCAGGGGAGCACAGGTGGAGGGGAGGTAAAGGGGCAAGACTCAGGCCAAGGAGAGGAGTCGGGTGCAGGGGTCGGCCCAGTGAAGGGCGGGCTCCGGAAGGCATGGAGGTCCCTGCACAGTCAGAGGGAGGCGGGCAGGGCTCTGGGCACCTGCCTTGGCTGCACAGCCCAGGCCCCGACCTGCTGTGCTCACCGCCCACGGCTCAGCCCCTCGGGGCGATGGGCAGTGTCCTCTCCCCGCTCCTCTGGAAGCCGGGCTGCGGGGACCCAGCCGGGGCAGGTGGCCTGGGCAGCTGGCCTCCTCCGGCCTGTCCTGTCGGCTCCTGCCCTGCGGGAGGCCTGTTCGTACTTGGACGGCGTCACCTCAGGGACATCTCAAAGCTGGGAAAGGGGACGCCTCGGGGCTGGACACTGCAGAGGCTTGGGCTGCGGGGAAGCCAGGCCTGCCCTCCCCTCGGGGGGGAGGTCCCAGAATTCCCAGAGCAGGGAGCACGCCTGGCACCTCCCTCAAGGAAGGGCGGCCGCTCAGGGCTCCTGGGTTATGGCTCCACAGGTGACAGGGCGGCAGGGGCTGCCGGGTCCAGAGTGAGTGTTGGGACCAAATCCTCACGC